AATTTAAAATTAAAGATATATAAATTTAAAAATACAATTATATATACAACATATATAAATTAATTGAATTATTTGTATTTAAATATCAAAATAATTAAATTAAATAAATATTAAAATTTGTATTAAATCAAATAGTATATCAATTATTTTTTAATTTATAAAGGATTACAAAGGGTGTGGAATATTCATTTGATTTTGAAATAAGGTCCCCTTTGCAGAACTAAAACAACAAACTTGTTTTCAAGTAAATATTTCCTTTACAACTTTGAAAATATGGTAGAAGAAAATTTTGAATTCAATTTTTAAAGTAATTTAATTATAAGTAAGTTTTGACAAATTTACAAATTTATGAAACAATTTTAATTTGACTTTAAAATTTATAAAAGAAAAAAAAAAACTTAAAAGCAAGTTTTCTTTCAAACTCAACCACCAGCTGTCGAGACAATGAAAAATTGAAAACGGTCCATTTGTATGAATCGTGCTTCCATTTATTAATGAGGAATATTAGTGACGTTTTCTTTAATGCTTTTCTTCCAACATTATCTCAATTGTTGAGTTACATGATATATGATTTTTTGTGATTTTTTTACCATTTTTAGTATACTTTTTTTTTTAATAAATTTGTAAGAGGTTAGATTCAAACTGTTGCTCTAAAGGTGAGAAAATGTATTTATACGTGACTTAACGCCACTAAATTCGAAGAGCCAAGTACAGTAAACATCTTTAAATGTTAAAAAAGAGTCATCCATTATCAAACTTATCAAAGGAAATCAACAAGTACAGTTCTTAATTATTAGTTTTTTTTTTTTTCATTTTTGGAGTAAAAAACGGTGAAGAACACCCTCCCTCCCTCATTAGGTAATTTTGGTTCTTCTAGTTCCTTCTCCAGTTTATTAGCCATGGCATGTTGTCAAGGATAACTCATTTTAATTAATTAATTAAAGACTTTTGCGCGAGCTTGAGACAAATAAAGGACAGTTGTGTGTGGGTACAATTATCCCCCTTTTTTTTATAGGGTACAATAAAATACAAATATTGCAATTATTTTTTATTATTAGTTTAAATTATATAGTAAAAGAGAAGACTTTTTACTTTTATTAAAAATAAATACCAATAAACTACTTAATTGTATAT